AGAGGCTTCACCAGAGACAGAGTGGGGAACAGAACAGGCAGATCAACGAAGTACACTGCTGAGGGGAGCAGCGGGCAGGTCAGGAGAGGTCTGCCTCGCCATGTGGTCACCTCCGGGGCAGGCGGTAGGCAGGGATCGAACTCATGCGGAAGTGGCTTCAGATTCTCAGTGCTGTGCTTTAACCCGCTGCGCCACCCGGGAGGGCCTATTTCAAGATTTTTAAATGAAAATTTTTTTCTTTTCTAGTTCTGTGACCCAGGGCAATTTCAATTTTGTCATTTGTAAAACAGAAATAGTAATACACCTTAGAAGCTGGTCCACTAATTTAATGAGTACATGGCAGTCAATCACATATTAATCAATACATGGACATTCCTCACTTATTTTTAAGAATGAATAATTCAGACAAATAGTTGTTCAGTGTTTTTATAGACCAGGACCTGTTTTAGCTGCTGGGGCAAAACAGTAGAGACAAAACAGGCAACGATCCTTGGCCTCAGAGAGCTTTTTTCTCATTTAGTGTGTTAGTGGTAAATGATAAGAAAGAAAGAAAGAAAGAAAAAGAAAGAAAGAAAGAAAGAAAGAAAGGAGAGTAGAGGTGAATGTGTGTAGTAGGAGGAGGTAGAGCAGCTGCAATTTTAGGCCCAGGGACGGCCTTAAAGAAGTGAGGTGAGGGAGCTAGAATAGTAGCTCTGCTTTCTGGGAAAGTAGCATTTTAGACAGAGGGGACAATAAATGCAAATGTTCTTAGAAAAGCATTGGTCTCATTAATTCCAAAAATACCAAAGAGAACTATGGCTAGATGGATATAGGTGAGGGCAGCGTAGGAATATTTAGAAAGATACTTGGGACTGGATCACTACAGACCTTGTCCTTGTGAGGACTTGCCCTGAATAGGAAGTCCTATCTGTCCATTTTAAAATTTAAAATTTCTGGCTTTGAGTTAAGGGCATTTTGAGGGAGCTAGGCAGGAATAGGAGACTCCTTCGGTGACTTGGCAGTTATCTAATCTCTAGTTGACAGTGGATACAACGGTGGTGGCAGTGGAGATGGTAAGAAATCAGTTCTGAGTGTATATTGAAAGTAGAGTCAATGAGGATTTTGGCAAATTAGATGTGAGCAGTAAGAAAAAGAGTGGGTCAAGGATGACCCCAGGATTTTTGACATATGCTGTTAGAAGTATAGACTTGACTTCTGTAGATGGAGAAGAATGTGAGAAGACAAGGAATGGAGGTGCAGTGGAATATTGGAAAATCATTTTAGGATACCTCACATTTGATAGGCCTCTTAGACAATATGACACTGTTGAATAGATAGTTGGATATAACTGCTAAGAAGAGTAGACATTTAGGTTTGGGATTATCAACTGATAAATGGATATTTAAAGTCCTGTGACTGACTGGAGATCTTCAAGAAAGAGAATGTAAGTAAGGAAGATCAGCTAGGTTTGAACTCCAATATTAAGAGGTTGGGAAGAGGGTAAAAGACACTAAGGGGATGGCCAGAAAGTGAGAAGAAAAACCAAGCAGGTGTGTACCCTGGAAACCAAGTGAAGAAATGATTGCAAAATGGAGTGTTCCGGGTGATTTGGTGATGGGAAACCCACTGGGATTACAACTGAGATGGAAAAATGCACAAAATGATGTAAAAATAAACTATATTATTAAAAAAAAAAAAAAAGGCCCTCCCTGGTGGCGCAGCGGGTTAAAGCACTGCACTGAGAAACTGAAGCCACTTCCGCATGAGTTCGATCCCCGCCTGCCCCGGAGGCATCCCCGCCTGCCCCGGAGGCGACCACATGGCATGGCAGACCTCTCCTGACCCACCCGCTGCTCCCCTCAGCAGTGTACTTCGTCTATCTGCCTGTTCTGCTCCCCACTCTGTCTCTGGTGAATCTTCTCACCCTCCGCAACTCTGGCCTGTACCCCAGTTCTGTACGAATAAATAAATAAATCTTAAAAAAAAAAAAAAAAAAGAAGAGTGTTTACCATGACAGTTGTCATCAGTGGACCTTTGGATGTGAAGCAGTGTCAAAGAATAAAAACTCCCATGAGTGTAACTCAATCCCAGTAAGTTGGGATCGTGAGACTCCTAGTGTGTTTTTGAAATAAGATGTCTGTTTCTGGAACACAAATCCGATAGATTAGTATTAGAGTATTGATATAAAGAGGTGATTTGTAGGTTGGTAATTCTATCACCGGATAGACATTCAAATATCATGGCAAAGGGATAGATGCAAGAACCAGTAGTGAGCCCAAACATCTTCCTTGAACCTATATATTTTGTCTCTAACTTCTTTATGTCTCTAGTTTGGTTTAAAATGTTACTGTGGGAGGGGCTTCCCACGTAGCCCAAGGGTTAATGACAGAGCCCTATCAAGCTATTGCCAGCCAGGGCAACAATCCCCAATTCAATCCTCAGGCCCCAGGCCTGCCATGGAACTGACCCACATGGCGTGGCAGACCTCTCCTGTCTAGCCCAATGCTCCTTTCAGTAGTATATTTCAGTAGATCTGTCTGTCTGCTCTCCACTTTCAGGGCTCTCCACTCTCAGGTGAATCCTCTCAACCCTGGCACCTTTGGCTTACAACTCAGTTCTTGTAGACATAAATAAATCTTTAAAATAAATAAATAAAATGTTACACTAGGAGATCAGATCAGTATAATTATTTCATTTCTACCCCTCATGCTTTCTTGGTGTTTGATAGGACCCTGAATGTTTTTCTCTGAGTTTAGTATTAAGATTTTAAAATTGATTTTGTTTATTTTTACTTTCTAGTTAATTAGAGCAAATAATTTTATAAATTCACTTGGGAATTTAACTAATTAAATTTAATCATGTACTAGGGTAGATTTACTATTCTTATGTAGTTTTGTGGTATAAATATATTAAAACTTTTCCTTGGGCAAGATTGTCTGATTACCTTCCTTCCAAAATTATTTTAGTAGTATGAAATACAATAACTGCTCAACCTAAAAAAACCTAAAATTCACAATTAACTTAGGTCTGTTTTCACCTTCCTGCAGTTAATTTGGAAACCATTTTCACAATGGAAAGGCCGTTGTGGGAGCAGATTTTGAAAGAGTCCTAGCAACAAAGTACAAAGCATGATAATGCACATCATGTTTGTCTTTACTGGGAGTACTGTGAGGTTCTGTTGAAAGATAGTGAACTTAAAGGCAGTCCACAAAAATGAAGAGAGAGAAAAATGATCACAGAGGATAAAAGTGACAGACAGCTTAAAAAGATTAGTAGGATTCTTAAATCTTAAAGAAATAGAAGGCTGACAGATGAGGTGCGGGTCTTAAATTCTGACGAATTTGAACAGGTTCATCAAACAACAAAAGCTAGAAATGAAAGATACTCTGGGAAGCAATTTAGGAATAATCAACAAATATCCTTAACTATAGAAAAAAACAAAAGACAAATCATCTATATTCTTCCACAAGAGTCTGGATGATTGTTTTTCCGTGTGGCCCTGCAGATGTTCCTGTAACCCCTTTTTTTTTTTCATTAATTTTAGGAAGATCCTGCCTTGGTGCGTTGGACCTATGCAAGATCAGCAAATATCTATCCCAATTTCAGACCCACTCCCAAGAACTCCCTTTTAGGAGCTCTAGTCGGAATTGGGCCCCTCTTTTTCTTGTATTATGTTTTGAAAACTGACAGAGTAAGTATTACAACTTGATGGTCAGTAGTTATGAGTGATTGTTTCCATTTGTGCTGACTCAGTGCTTTCTCTGGTTTGCCATGGGTGACCTTTATGTTAGCCCATGCCTTTCTTCAGTTCCTCTCTTTTACTTTATTATATTGTATTGAGATAACATTGGTTTAGGTTTAGGATTATATGGTTTAGGAGCACAGGTTCACACCCTGTAAAAATACGTTATAACCTCACACCCACCATCAAAGCACCAAGGATCATCTACTGTAATTCCCTCTTTTTTATCTTTCCCCCCTGTCCTGCACGGGTTAAAATTTCAATAATATGTTTGGTTTTATTGCTTTATCATTTCAGCTTATAACTTTGCTAAAAATTGTGATCATCTCTGGCTCTTTCAAATTTAATTTATGACTACTCTGGAATTTGGGCAATTTAATTTTCTAAGACTTGAAATTAGCCCATGAGTTTTCCAGGTCGAGTTTATATGATGTAAGGATATTATACCGTGACTGTTAAGCAAGAGCATTTAAAGAGTTCATTTCTTTTTTCCTTTAGAAGATGTACAAAATTTAAACTTTTCTGATTAACCTTTAAATATTATCTTTGCAAATTTTTATGTTTTCTTAATTCATTTGTTTTAAAGAGTTACTTATTGGATTAATTTTAGCAAAATATATATTCAGTATATTCCCTCTTTATATGAGTTCTAGTTTTATTGGTCACATTTTAATGTTAACTTTAATATCCTAACAGAAAAGCAAAAGCAGCCTTGTGATGGAATCACTGCCATCATAGGTCTGAGGTCACATAAAAAGCCACACTACTCTGATACACGACCACTCTGGTACTGGGCCCCCAACCCCAACTCATAGGCCATGTGGACAAGAGTCTGCTCATCTAGCTCTGCCAGTCCACTAACCAATTCAGTCTCCTGTTGGTACATATATACATACATATATACATACATTATTGTCAGATAAATTACCTGTTTAACAGAAAGGTAAACAGTAGGTGTTGGCATTTTGCTTTTCATGTATCATTTTTAGTGGTGTGATATAATTGTATTCCCTTTGTTTCTTTGAACTCTACCTCTCGTTCATACTCTAGGTTTCAGATAAGGAGAGATTAGAATTAGGTTTAGAGTGTTTCATTCCTGTTTCACACTTGTACCCTGGGTTGTCCAGATGCTTTGTTTTTAATGTACTTTTTTTTTTTTTGGTTCTTTACAGGATAAGAAAGAAAAACTTATCCAGGAAGGAAAATTGGATCGAACATTTACCATCTCATATTAAGTCTGATGATGATAATTATGTATTACTGTTTAAATAAATCTGTCAATCATTAAATCTTTCTTTTTCTTAGTATTGTTCTTTCTCAGTATTTCTCTTAATATTACTGCAATTCAGTAAACATTTGTTGGGCATTGTAGAATTTCTATTTTGTAGAGCTCAGGATTTAAGAAACAGATTTATGTTCAATTATTCAACCAATGAGTGTTTACTATGAATTAAACATTGTACTATGCAGCATTACAACAATCAATTAGATGTAAGCCCTGTTCCTAAAAAACACACTTTTAATAACTGTTTAGTCAACAGTTATTACATGTGTGTTTGTTATTGTTGAATATCTAAGCTCTTGTTTGGCTCCAGCTGCAATGGTAAATGCAGCAGAACAGAAATAGGAATTTGGGTCCCCATCTCCTTGTATCCCTGCTCTACCACTTACTGATGAAGTGGCATGCAAAGTATTTAAATGATCTGTGATCAATTTCCTTATCCTTTTTTTAATAGTTTCTTTTAAAATGATATACTAATAATACATTGTCATTAAACTCATTGTTTAATCAATTATATATTTAAAACCGTGCACACATTAAGGCCTATGAGTGTTTACTATTATTTGTATTTTTTAAAAGATTAATTTTACATATTTATGCATACAAGAGCTGGGGTGTACGTCAGAGGTGTGGTGTGGGGGAGAAGGGCGTGAGAGGATTCACCAGCGACTGAGTAGGGAAGCGAAACAGGCAGATCCACTGAAGTACACTGCTGAGTGGAACAGAGGTGAGACAGGAGAGGTCTGCGCCATGTGGGTCAGCTCCTTGGCCAGGGATTGAACGAGTGCTGCAGTGGCTAAGGACGGCTTCATAGTACTGAGACTAAACCCCTTGCACCACCAGGGAGATTAAACCAGATTTAAACTTTAATTGAATCTCATTTACTATTGAGGACTTTATCACAGTTTTCTGATGTGATATGTCTTAATGATTCTAAGGTTCAAGATAAATTAAAAACATTAATCTTTGCTCAGACCAGTCTTCTTTCATTGGATGTTATACTAGTACCTCATAGTAACAGAGAAAGACCTTTACAGTGCATTAATAGCTACTTCATCTGAGCCCTTTATGCTGCCATGTATCTGGTGCCACTAGCACTGGCCACAAGAATACACACAAGTATTGCTGTCTCTGTTGGTCTGACAACTCAAACATGTTACAATCACAGTCAAGGTTCTTATATATTCTTGTCACTTGCTCCTGAGTCTAGGAATCTTATGATTAAGCCTAGGTCATATGCTTGAGTTGTAGCTGCCTTGAAGGCTAAGAAAGCTAAAGGGTCATGTTAAGCTTTAAAGTATGAGGCAGATAAGAAAGTCCTAAACAGAAAGTATTCCAAATGCTGAACACCCAAAAATTGACTGTATAATGACAATAGCCATGAACCAAGTCAAAAGGCCCTTCCCACAGCTAGGAATTTAGACTTTATTCTTAATGGCATTGAAGACATTAAGCAATTTTTTTTTACTTTTGTTTATTTTCATATATTTATGCATGCAGAACTAGAGTACAGACCAGAGGTGCAGGAGCAGTGAGAGGAGTCACCAGAGACAGAGTGGGGGAGCAGAACAGGCAGATTGACAGAATGTACTGCTGAGGGGAACAGGGATGAGACAGGAGAGGTCTGCTGTGCCATGTGAGTAAACCCCCTGTACGGGGATTGAACTTGTGCCGAGGTGCTTGTCGCCAGCTTCAAAGTGCTGTGCTTCAACCTGTTGTGCCACCAGGGAGGGCCCCAAAGCAGAGTAATCTTGAGCAGTTTTGCATTCCTGGAAGATTCATCATCCAGTGATCCAGCAGAATGACATCAGGACTAGAGGCTGGAGAATAACCAGTGATCAGGTTGTAAGACAATGGAATATTAGGAATCAAAAAGGTAAACTTAATGTCACTGTGGCATCAGTTCATGGGTGGAACTGGAAGGGAAAATGCTAAGTGAAATAAGTCAGAAAGAGGGCCTCCCTGATGGTGCAGGGGTTAGAGTCTCTGGACTCTCAAGCTGTAGCTAGCCACTATAGCACCAGTGGGAGCTAGCCCACCGGGTACAGCAGATCTCTTTGGTGTTACCTGCTACTTCCTTCATTGTATTTCAGTAGATCTTCCTTTTCTGCTCCCCAACTGTCTCTCTGAATCTTCTCACCTCTCTTGCCCTCTCTCCTCTGGCCTACATCCTAGTTCTTGTATGCATAAATAAATCTTAAAAAGAAGTCAGGAGAAAAATACCAGGTGGTGTCACTAACAACTGCATATAGAGAAACAAAACTAAGGGTCAGGTAGAAACTAACTTGAAAACTGATTATAGAAATGAGCAGATGAAGCAAAGGGGTAGTGGAGAAGAATACAGAAACACAAGGTGAACTAATGGGTGATTTGATGGTGGGGGCACTAGTACTATGGCATCAATACCTGAGGGGGGTATTAGTACCTCAATTAAAAATTAAAAAATATAATTAGACCAAATGGCCATCAATTTTTTGAGAGCCTTCCATGCAAAGCATCCAATCCCAAATGAGGATGACTGATTTAGATGTGAACTTGTGGCAAGCTTTATGATAGTCTAAATATATTGCCTCCATTAGTTTCCCTTTATTCACATGAATGAGGAACCATCTCCCTTATCCTTATATGACATCCCCTCTCTGGAATAATACTGCCTTTCTAAAAAGCTGGTTTGTTTATGTGAAGCAGGAAGTTACTAAGGCAGTTGAACAACTTGCCTACAAACGACCCCCTCAGTGTTCTCAAAAGTTCCAGATTCCTCAAAATGGCAAAGCTACCTCATACCCCATGACTTCTTTAATGAGATAAAGTCTTGTTAAGCTAGTATTAGATTTTCAGTTACTTGTAGTTGAATGTGCACCATATATTTTTAAGAGAAGTGTTGCCACAAAATATACCTGTTCTGATATTAATTTTACTCATAGGCTTCAAAATAAAGGAAGTAAGTGCTTGTGAATGAGCAAACCTGCCCCATTTGTTAAAATTTCTTTTCCAGGGAGACTATAGAATTATATACATTTGGTCTTTATGAAGTATCACTGTTAATAGTGTTGTAATGGGTTGAGTCGAGAAATTTCTAATAATAATTTTTGACTTAAAAAACCTGGATTAGAAATGCACGGGATTATGGTGATGGCACATGGGTGACTTGGTGATGGGAAACCCGCGGGGATTACAATTGAGATGGAAAAAAAAATGCACAAAATGATGTAAAAATAAATTTTTGTAAAAAAAAAAAAACACCAAAAACCTGGATTAGGCTAATTAGAGTTTTAAGAGCCCACATGATCGGGCGGGATTCCTCCAGGAAGAGCGCTGTTGATAGTCCTATGTGAACCACTTACATTAAAGTGTCCTTAGATTTGTCTTAGCTTTCACTTTAATTGAGCTATTAATATGCATGGGTGAGATGTTAAATTGAACTTCATTATGGTTTTCTTTAAGACCTAAAAGATGATGAAAAGGAGATAGTATTTAAAATTTTTCATGCTTTGGGCTCCTGCATATTGCATCAGAAGAGCACATTACATTCCTTCAGCTAAAAGCTAGTTTACTTAGGGACAAGGTCATTGATGTACTCATCCCACCATCCCCGAGGCAGGAGCTAAGTGTTTACTAAGACAGCAGCATTAAGCAAGTAAGCAAGAACAACAATAATATTTGCCTATGTCCCATGCCAAAAGCAGTGGCGGGTATCAGTATATGGTGTCAGGTAAGTGATCATGAAACTGAAAGTGAGACTTAGGTTAATTCACTTGGTCAAACTCATTCAGCATCAAAAGCACAACCTAGAGACTTAATTACTATTCTTCAAGACAAATTTAAATATACTTACAATGTTTTTACATAAAAAAGTAATAACTATATTAAAAATGTATCTAGATCAAAATACCCTCCCAAAGGAAAAAAAAATCCCCTGAATAATGGCTAATGTTTATTCAGTAATTATTATCTTGACCAGTACTTTTCCGAACAATCTACCTATATTAATTCATTTTATATTAATGCTAACCTATGCGGTAGGAATTATGATCTATATTTTACAGCTGATGAAACATTCTCAGTGAAGTTAAGTAACTTACTCAGAGTTCCACAGCTAACAATCCAGGTGGTCTGGCTCTAGCACTACAGATTGTCTCAAAAAGATAAATTTTGGACATATTTTGGACTTGTGAGTCAATTATATAAAGTTTGGCTATATTGAAGACTAGTTGATTTCTAATGGTAAGTTTAAAAAAGTTTAAAGAGTTTAAAAAAGATGTCAGTCTATGAAAAATTTTAGTAGTAAAATATCTTTTCAGAAGGACAATATTTACTTTAAGCCCAAAAGTGATAATCCTGTCATCAGTCTGGAAAATGCCCAAAAGGGATAATTCAATCTGGAATTCAGACTGTCATCAGTCTGGAAAATTACAATACTAGTTGGACATTAACATTTTTTAAAAATTTTTAATAGTTTATTTTTACATATTTTTGTGCATTTTCCCATCTCAGTTATAATCCCCTTGGGTTTCCCATCAGCAAATCACCCATGCTGGACATTAACTTTTAACTTACAGTTTACATCCAGGCCTTT